TTCCGCAAATTTTAAAGATAGTCTTGAGTTCACCGTGTTTGGCCTTTCCTGGTCAGCTTGTGCAAACACAGCAAAGATTAAATGGTCCGTAACTCCCTTCAGAGAATCGTTCCGCAAAATCGGAGGGCAGATTGGATTCAGCGGCTCAAGACACGTCCATATATATACATCTCATTGTAAATGGCCGGATCGACCTGTTGGGGTTCCCTTGTCAGCTGTGAGCGTAGAAGCGCTGTCCTTTCAGGCAGAGACGCAGACAGCGTGCGCAGAAGAGGGCGCGGACGGGAGAAGAGAAAGTGGTAGCTCGTCCCTCTCTGCCCGTAAGGGCAGCCGCCCACGCCGCATACCCAACCGCTGCCGCAAAACTAGGTACGTGGTTTTGCGGTAACGATCACCTCCCTAAGCTATGTACATTTCCTCCCTCCAGGATGTGGAGTGTACTTTTTATTACTGCTCATCATACTGCTGTCAGTTACAGATCTTACTTCTACATCTGAAATATCTGTAATAATTTCAACTCCAACAACTGGACCTCAACATCCAATTTTCTTGAGAAATCGACATCATCATCGAATATTCGTAGAGGCAACACAAGTAGGCAAGTGTGTGACTTTATTCATCCGAATTCAAAGGCAACCGAGTCAAAATCTGAAAAATTCTCAAATATCCAGTGAAGGTTCCCGAAGAATATTCTAGTCAGTGTTGTTTAGGTTAACCGATTGAACACCACTAATGCTCCATGCGTTAGCGATTTTTCCGAGCTCTCATGGATTCAGCAAGGGAACTTGTTACTTGAAGAATTTGAACTTTACAACATGCAGGTAGCATTCACTCTCCATTAATTAGCCACCTAGTTTAAATTTATTCAATTTCATCCTATTTAGGCATGTGAGCGAATGCAAGCGATCGAATGGGGCCTGAGGGAAAAGGGATGCATCCCTTCGAACATACTCGAGCACGACAGGCTGCCAGAATGTGCCGATAGCAGCTTTCGTTTGGATCATTCCTTACAGAAAGGTTGAAAACTGTATAGATTAATCTAGTACAGTTGAAAGCAAGGAAATGTCCCATTGAAACAACAAAATGTGGGTGGGACTCAGAAACTGCACATGCCTAATGGCTGGTTATTCATGAAAAAGCAAGAGATACGGCAAAAATCCTCAAGAAGGCTCTAGATGCTCCCCTCAGCAGCAGATTTTAGACATTGTTCGACCTTAGGAGAGAGAATTTCAGGGGAATGAGGGAAGAGTCCACTGGGCCTGATAAATTAGGCAACAAACAGACGAGAGATCAGGGAGCTGAGTGAGACAGCAAACAATACACACTTGTCAATCGCATCCATTACAGGGCAATGACAGGCCTCACGACTGGGGCAGCGTTCAGAATTCGCAATGACGCGCGTCGACGCACTACCACTGCGTCGCGCTTGAAAACTACGGACGGAAACGCAGCCCAGGAAACATCATTGGTTGATCACAAATAGCACATGTGAAACAGGAAAAGCCGCGAGACAATACGACCCCTTCTACCAATTCTCAGATTTTCCCCAACTTCCTGCCACTTTTTCCAAAATTTCCCGAAAACTTCCCTACTTTTTCCCAAAAATTTTGCTGTCGAGGGGGGGTATATAGTACGCATGAAACAGGAAAATCACGAAAAGTCAACCACCACTCCACCACTCCTAGAAAGGCCAGAAAGTAAATACGACCCCCCCCCTTTACAACGTCCGTGAAGCGAGAAAAATCAACTATCAAAATAAATTTTTCTCAGCCCAAATACGACCCCCCTCTCCTGGCGGCCAAATACGACCCCCCCCTGTTGGGGATTCCCCAACAACGATGTGCCCTGGCGCAGCCGCGGATGGGTATCGATTGTAGTCGGCCGCTAATGTTCTGGGAGCGTACAAAAGATTTAAAGGGTACGGGACCAGGTGATCAGGTAACTGCCCACCCCTCTCTTCTACATTCTACTGAAGCAATAGCGGCCGGCGCCGATCGATATCCATCCGCGGCTGCGTTCCTGTACATAGCATTGCAGCGCCCTTGCATCGCGTCGACGCGCCGTGTAGCGCGTCGATCGTCATCATAACGACGTCTGTGCTCAGCGTTACCAGAATCCAGTAATCGCAGGGATTTTTAAAGAGCAAAAGCAAGGAGCGGTAGTTCTTACGTGACCAAAGTGAAGCAGGTGGAAAGTGAAATCAGGCTCCATTTGTAATCAATAAAGTATCAATGGGTTCTTTTTCTCTGGACTAGACCTCATTCTCTTAGAATTCCCATGTTATCCACCGTGTTCTTCAATGGAATGGCGATTATCCTCGTCCCATTTACGGACTCCTCGAGGAATGAAGATAACGTTCGAATTCAGCAAAAAGATGGAGATTATGGTTGAAGTTAGAAAATTGGGCATAACAGACGTACTATGTAAGTTCAGTTATAGAACAGAAATTATAATTACTGGTAACAGTTTATAAAGGTCAGATGTTAAGCATTCGTTGGAGGTGGCACATCATTATTTCTTGGCTGCAGCTGTGTGACTTTAATGGAGACGTTCGTGTTTCTTCTAAAATTGGTCCTTCAATCATTCAATAAGGAAACATTCGAGAGCGTTGGAATAGCCACAGGTAGAGGCCTTATATCGTACCTGAAGCAGAAAAGTTTGATCAAGAAACGGTTCTGCATGTGTTCGCAAGAACTGAAAGAATTTTTTTGACTTTTTTTCCTGCCACTGTGAACTTTACACAATGCAGCCACGTGTCGCGGCTTGCCGGTTGGTCCCTACCTTACAAAAAAAGCTAAAAGTAAAAAAATAAAAGGTACCATAAGAAGTAGGTGTGGCAGTCAGGGAACTGCTGTCTAGGGCTACCTGAGCTTTTCAATATGGTCCTGTTGCGAAAACCTATCACGCCGACACGTAGAAGAAAATGACTGCCAAAGCAGCGAAGCAAAGCTAAAAACGTGTGACGAGTCAGAGGTGGGCTCTTTTGAGGCTAGGACACTTGGGGGTGGATGAGCCACTTATTATGCGTTAAAAGCTAAAATACATGAGGTCACAATGGTTTTAGAACGTCATACAGGGTTATGGGGCACTTGCCCCCCGTGCTCCCGCAGCGAGGGTCCATCGGTAGTTTCTCGTGGCATCTACTAGCCCAGTAGTTGAAGGGAGAAGGTAAAGGAGGAGGGAACAGAGAAGGAAGGAAGGAAAAGAAGGAAGGAGGAAGAAAAAAGGAAGGAGAAGAGAGGCTTCGCAGTTGACAAGTGCCCTGAACCGTCATAGGTTGTCATACAGACGAGAGAGTGCAGAGAAAAACAGAAATTTCTTGCGACTAAAGGGAATAAGTCCAAGCTGTCAGTTGGCCGGGTGCAATAATGCAAAGGTTTGTGCCAGACTGTGGCACTTTGTCTGAATATGCAGACCAATACCAGTACTAACTGCGAAGCAAAGCCGAATCTAAACCTCATCTTACGGTTTCAACTTCACTGTTCCTTTGAAAGACCTCACTCCAAAAGGTTGAATTTTGAAGATGACGTCAGCGATTCCGGATATGTTCAAACTTTGGAATCCGGATCCACAAATTTCAAAGGATGTCATCACAAGTGCGTTGCTTTACGAGTTTGAAAAAACAGTTTTTTCTATACAATGCATTTGTAACTCGATCAATAACTTTTTTCTTATTGGCTTTCCTTTTTCCAATGATCATTCCTGTTAGGAATCGACGCTGTGAATGAAGAAGATGTTATCGGTTCCACTAGCATGCAGGCGTCACCGCATAAATCGATTCATTGTGTTCGGTAGGAATCAACATCTTAACCTTTTTTCTCTCCTCTGTACATCAGTTGATCGATAATTGATCGCGCCGTGCTTTCAGCTTCTTGCATTCAACCGAAAATGATGAAAACGATACACGTACGCGACATTATAGACCTCGTCCACCGTCTCTGTCAGAGTTGAAATTCAGGTGAAAGGATTTCAGATTATTTCAATAGTCGCTTTGTTCCGGTAACTTTTTGAGGCAGATTCTTTATTGAGGGGCTTTATTTCGACCAAATCATCTTTTCCTGAGCCTCATCTATTATCAAGAACTATGACCAGCTCTCCAGAACTTTAATTAGATACCTCTACCCCTAGGGAGAGAAGAGTAGTATTCAATCCGATGTAGGTGCATTAACGACCTCAAAAGTACTTTTTGGCAGTCCAACGAGTTGTATAATTTAGCAATTCCTAAAAAAGTATTAGCTACTCTTATTGGGCATTTTGGTTCAATGTTCGAAACTATCCGTTTGTTCACCATGGAGCAGGGCACATCATTGGTTGGGGATTTTAGTCGAGTCCGTACGACCCCCCCCTTTTTTGGGGGTTGGTACGACCCCTCCGGCCCTCTGTCCCTCCTCATCGAATCGAGCCGTCGAGCGGGGGGGGGG